AAGCACATACTAACGTGTTATGTTACGATTTTGTGAGTAGGTCGTTGATATAAATGAGGAATAGAATTAATGACAAAACTGCTTTTTGCGGTGGTCCAGCTTTCATCAACCTGTGAAATTTTAGTTCCAAATCGTACATTTGCCTTTCGGTGTTGAAACAAAGTTTTAATTTAAAAAACAAACAGTGATATTCCTGTCATAAAGATTTTATTTAATAAGTTGCTTCGCAAAACTGTATCATAGGCCTTTGACAAATCAAGCTGAATTACTAGAAATCTTTGGCTAGGAATTGAGTAAAAGCCATCCCTGATCTCTCGCGACAGTCTGAGGTCTTGATCTGCTGTGTCTTTTTTCTTAATTCAGACTTTAACTAATCAAGTACTCCATGATGCTCCAATCCGAAACTATTCTATTTTAAATCATTCGTTTGAGCAACTTTTCCAAATGTGATGTCACGTTAATAGGTCTATAGCTTGATGCATCTTCTGATTTTTTACCTTTTTTAAGTAGAGGTTTTATGGTTGCTTGACGCCGTTCCTGTAGACATTGACTTCTTACCCCAGCAATTATTGAACAGATTTAGTACAATTTTGTGCGCCTCCTCTGGCAGTCGGTTTATCATTTATATACTTTTTATATTTCAGTCTTCATCGAACAAAACTGTTTGTCACTATGTCTTCTATAATCTCTGCATACTCTTACATGAAAGCATTTGTTTTCTGTTTTCTCTGTAATGCATGTTTGTCTTAGTACGTAATGCATTCGTTTGAAGCAGATTTAGTGTAATGTGATTTTAATTGTTTCCATGTCCTTTTCCTATTTTTTATATTTCGTCTTGCAATTTTTATTTCATATCCAAATTTTGGTCTGTTTGATGTTTGATGACGTCTATGACTCTGCCGTTCGTTTCTACTCATCTGTCTCTATCTATCTATCACATGATCTGGACAAATCCGATTTTTTTCATCAATGGTTACCTGAATTTTTTTTCATTTATGGGATATTTTTCTTCCGATGAGCCTTTTTAGGTTTGAATAACTTGGTTGCACTGTTGATGATGTTTGCAAGCTTCCTTGCTCAATTATATATACAGTACTCATCGTTAAAAATAGGCTGAGTTTGTTGTAGTTGTTGCTGTTGTTGTTTTTGATAATGTTGCCGTGGTTGGTGATATTGGGGTGGTTGTTGATGTTGTTGGCGTTGCAATTATTTGTGTTGTGCTTGCGCTGCTGTCAATGATGTAGCTGTGTTCCACTTGTGTTGCTGATGATGCTACAGTTTGTTGATGTCACTTGTAGTTGATTTTCTGTTTGAGTAGTTGGCACAGAACTGACGGAGCAAAAAGGTTTTCCATATTTCTGTTCATTAACTCTGAGATGTGTGGTGCACTGTGAATTTTTGTTTGTGTCTGTGCATGTGTGTGCTTGTCTGTGTGTGTGCATGTTTGCGTGTTTGAGGATTTGTCCATGGGTGTGATCGTTTGTTTAATATTTTTCGTTTATAAGTGCATGCATGGATTTTGTTTTTTAACAAATAAAAATTTATATAAACTTAAATATTATTTTCAGTTCTCATATTTGCATTAATTCAGCCGGCATTACAAATTTCCTAGTAAATCTGGTTTTCTTGCTTATTATATTTTTTTCGAACAAAAACAAACTAAATAAAATTAACGGAAAGTTAACAAAGCTGAAAATAATGTTCGTAATATATTGTTATAATCGCGGGAATGGCAAAATTACGCTATATAATCAATTATTGTTATCTTGTTATATTTGTTATCTTTGTTATTTGTCAACCGATAGTAAACCATAGAATCTTTTCATATTATACTATACTATTAAGCAGGAGTAGTGAAGTCAATGCGAGGTTTGAAGCGAAGTCGTAAATGTAATTTATGTAGTTACTTGGATATGTTTCTATTACTGTTGGCATTAAAATAAAGGTTCAACAGAGTTTGCGTTTGAAGCAGTTGTGTTCATCTATCGGAAATCTTGAACCTACGGAATAACGATAACTTGACGAACTTTGGAATGTACAACACTGGTGTCAGAAATATAAAGATCTTTGAAGTTATAACAATGGTGTTGGTAGTGACGAGCGTTAAGGTGTTACAAGATTGGTGTCAGAAGTAAAATTTTTGATAGATCGAAATTTTCTGCAATAAAGAATGCCGGCACTAAATGAACTCAATACAACTTATCTGTGAATGAAATTACGACAAAAAAACCTCGACCCGAAAGGAGCGAAGGCAGTTCTGATAAACCACCTAAGAGCCGCTCTAATAAACGAAGGTAACGATCATAAGGAGTTTGATTTTTCGGATCCTGTGAAATTACGAGCAGCCAAAAGAAGAACATCGTCCAATAAAGAGACAATCAAAACAGCTATACAAGAAACAGCTGACCAAAATTCTGACATAGTTTTACCAGCGAACATCGCGGAAATAGCGCTTTACAAACTAATTGATTGATTAAATTGATTGATTTCTATTACTGTTGACATTCGAATAAACGTTTGACAAAATTTGCGTTTGAAGCAGTTGTGTTCATTTATCTGAAATCTTCAACCTACGGAAACGATGACTTGACTATCGTTGGAAGCTACAACACTGGTGCCGGAAATATAGAGATTTTAAAGTTATAATATTCGTGTTGGTAGTTACGAGCGTTAAAGTTTACAAAATATTATAAAATATGTTATCATAATTTTTTTAAATAGATGGATTTTTGTTTGTACGCCTGCATTATTATTTTGTATTGTATAATTTTTATTGTCATGTTTCTGGGTAGCCATACAAGTTCCTTAGAACTTTGCTGTCAGCCAGCCTTTGCTGAATCAAATAATTTTTAATTTATGAACTTTCATGTATGCACTTTTTAATTTTCGCTTTTTGCCATTTTTAATTTTCTCGCTTTCTTTAGACGGTGAATAAAAAAATGTCTCTGCAGTATGTATCTGTACGTTAATGCTGTTATTATGCTTTCATAGGAGGTGAGATGGTATAACGGTTATGTCGCCTGCCCCTGATGTCGGAGTGACTGGGTTCGAATGTCTGACGCGCTACTTTCCTTGTTTCTATTTACACCGTCTGTGTTTAGTTGATAAGGTTGCAGAATAACTGAGTAAATTATCAAAATAATTGCAATCTAAAAATATATTGATCTTTGGCAAAGGCTTAAGTGAATATAATTGTAACGTACTAAATAATTTTAAATTGACATGAAATATAAAAAATATACTGATCTTTGGCAAATGCTTAAGTGAATATGATTGTAACGTACTATATAATTTTAAATTGACATGAAATATAAAAAAATTGTGATAACACTTTTGTTTGTTTAACATTGCATGTTTTGATTCGTGGAATAGTTGCAATAGTTTTGTGTGCGTTGGTATATGAATGAGACAAAGTTCTGTTTGTTAATATTTTTCAAGAGGAAGTCCCTGTTTGTTCTGCTGCACCCCCTCAACTTAGCAGCACTGCCTCACCATCCGTACTCACCTAGTCTATGTTTACACGTTCTATGTATTTATTTGCCTGTTTGTATGTCTGCGTTGTGTACGAAAATATGTTTTGTATAAGTACAAAATGATTTGAAGCGATGAGAATCGTGTTTATATTGCTTGGACATTTGATTGATGTGACTATCTTAATTATATCTTAATTACTTTTAGACTAGTAGACATTAACACCAAATGCTAACGATCAAATATGTGTTTTCCAGTTTAATGACAATGTTTTAGCTTTATGTTTGTTCATACGTGAATAAGCTCTCCCGACTGAATCGTCATCCTCAGTGTACTCTAATAATTTGAAACATGAAGAATGAAGAAATGAAGATTTGTAAGATTAAGATGGAGACCTTCTTTTTAACAAACTTAAAAAAATTGTTGCGATTGATATAAAAAATATTTCCAAATAATGAAAGTTGGAATGTCTTGTAACCCCTCGTTCAGATTTCGCTTGAACAAAAATATAATTCGATTGAATCATTATTGAAACTTCATTGACTGAGCGAAGCATGTCGTAAGAAGGATGGACTGTTCAACGACAACAATGGAAGGCATGTCAAACCGTCAACCGTCTAGGAGGAAGAAAAGGATGGCCTATGAAGACATTATTATTGTTCGGAGTGTTCTGCAATCAATTGATACTTCATCAGTAATGTATAATATTATATATACCCCTATGTATCATATATATATATATATATATATATATATATATATATATATATATATATATATATATTATTTATTTATATGTTTATTTTTTTCTGTAATTTGAAAAAATAAATGTAGTTATAATAGTAGGAGAGAGGTTTAGATTTGAAAGAGGTTATGGTGCAGTAATTGAAGTATCAACAATAATTAGGAGAATTAATACGGAACATTTGGATGGGATGTTAACCAACGTTACTGAAAGGTAACGCTATGTGCCTCAACAACTTTGTTAAAATGGAATGTAAGCACTAGTAAGCAGAAAAGTTATTTTTACGTTGACGGCTGACAAGTAAATAAAAAGATTTAGTTAGTTACATTTTATGTGGATGCTTTGAATGTGCTTTACCTTTCAAAATAAATTAATGATAAAACACACGCCATTATTAAATGTAAAAAAAAAATTTGTTAACAATTGTAAAACAAAGAATAATGTTTTATAAAATGCTAAAATATCTTTATAATGAATTACAGTGGCACAAATTAAATATAATATTGTATAACAGTGCTGAAAAAAATTTTGTTAGTTTGCAGATTAAAACACTTTCAATTACATTAACATGTGCTTGTGTATACTTCGATGATAAACTAAGTCCGTTACTTTGAATAATGGCACCAAGATATAAACGTTTGGATTGTGGAAATAATGTAACCTCTAGTGATATACTGTACTGCACATTTTGTAGTTCCGTGATTCATTAGAAATAGGCTCATATTTCTGATCAAGCTTCAGCAATCTAGCAGTTTTTTGGCGTTGTGGCACCCGTCTTGGACATATGGATCTTTTCAAACCGGGCAATCAATTAAATGTTAGGTCAGAGAATATTAAAAGGATTCAGGAGAATAATGAAGTCATTTGTAACCAGGTAATGGAGGTAAAGAATAATCATGAGAAAAAAATTCTGACTATGAATCTGGAAATAAAAATATCGACACTGCATGAAAAAATAAAAACAGAAAGAATATACAGGACGGTAACAACGTCATTAGTGGTCAAATTAAAAATATTCAAACAGTGCTTGAAAAAAATCACGGGAGATGATTTGGAAGGTAAAATAAATTTATTTCAAGATAACCTGAAGAGGTCATATGCAGATGCCGTGAAAGAAGTTAAAGTAAAGAAAGCTGAGAGATTAAATGGTGAAAGAATGAGTATGAATGGTGGAATACAAGCACTAAAAAGAACGATCTTTCAACTTCATCATTTTTAAATTAAAGGAAGATAACAAACTTAATTTTAATGGTAGTAAAAAGGAAGATGAGGAAAAATATTTAAAAATTTTCAGCACAGTGATTGATGAAAGAGTTGATAAGCCAGATGTTGTTAAACGTTACAGATTGAGTAAGAGACAGGCCGTCGTTGGCTACATTGAAATCAAAGGTTTTAAAGAACTTAGTAATGGAAAGTCTGCATAATTTGAAAAATCTAGATGATGATTTGAAGAGAATAGGCATTGACCATGACCTGGCAAAGGATCCAAGGAGTGAGTTTAAAAAGTTGATGCAAGTTGCGAAGGAGGAAGATGCAGCTGACAAACAGGATTTTGTTTACAATGTGAAGGGCAAACCAGGAAACTTGAGAATTATTTAAATAAAAAAAAGCAGCGTTAAATATTTTCTCTTTTTGTCGTCTGCAGAATGTTTGATGAATATGATGATATTAAGGGGATGATAAATTACATTGTTAAAATAGTCAAATCAAGGTTCTCGGGCAGGATTTGTTTTGGAAATTGTGATAATCGGTACTTTGGTTTTAATGAAGATAGTTTAAATCTAACGAATTATGAATCTCGTGTTATTGTGGTTGTTGGTGAGGTGAATATGGGTGGATGTATGAAAACGGATATTTATACATTGTTATTATTGAATTGTAAGTAACTATTGTATACAAATGCGTTGGTTATGCGTGTGAGTATTGGTGTATGTATTCAAATGTAAGAGTTGTCGTTAATGAAAATGGCATGTGTTGCAAGATTTGGGTATGTTTTGGGTATGTCTGATGTTGGCCGATGTTCATGAATAGATTTTAATAGTTTGGTGTGGTTGTAATGCTTCTGAATGACATGGGTCAAATTGATTCTATCTGTAGGTTTTCATTATAATGTGTATTGCATATTGATGAATTGTATTTGGTAACAGGAGTTTGACTGAAAAAGTTTGTATAAGTGCGAGATTGTGCTGTTTTGTATGCATGGTATAGGATCAATTATATGTTTACATGTCTTTTTCTCTACTTCGAGGTTTTAAGTCGATTGGTAACTTTAGTATCTGTTTGCCGGTAGTTTGGTTGGTGGATGGTTATTATGTGTTGTTTCTTTTATTTATATGTTTATTTGTTTTGTTGTTATCATTCAAGCTGTCATTTTGTTGCTTGGTGTCGGATAGCGTCTTTGAGTGATTCCATAAAAAGCGCTATTACAAGTTTTCTTATATCTTTTTATCTGAGATCTTTTTAAAGGACCAATAATATATATATATATATATATATATATATATATATATATATATATATATATATATATATACGTGTGTGTGTGTGTGTGTGTGTTGTTCAAGAAATCATTTGTGTATTTATGGATGTATTTCTTTCATTATTTATTCATTTATTTACTCCACGAACGTATTCAGTTTGATGCTTGAATTTGGGATGAATGTAAATTTGTAATGGGATGCGATATAATTTTGATGTAAAGAGTGAATAGTGAATGGGTGTGTGGTTCAGTGGGGGGGTGGCTAGGTCGAATGGTGAGCGATCGCCGAGAGCCGTAGTGCCTCATTAGTTTCAAAACGGGCTGCATCAATGAATTTTTTTAAACGAAACAGTATAAAAGACAAAAGTTAGAAATAAGCGTTCAATCATCTCCTAAACCAATGAAAAAATAAAAGTTTATTGTGAGTTCGTTACATGCATGCCCGCACAGCGTACGCTTAAAACCCTCTCTACTGCTACCACACACACACACACACACACACACACACACACACACACACACACGACTTAAATTATGATCATGTGGAAAAAATTATCTGTCAGACATGCACACACACAATAATCATCATTATCACCACAATTTTGCAATATTGCCACATTGAATTTGATTTTTCGGAAGATTAGATTTTAATATTTTTAAACATGAAGTCCTGGGGCCAGTTTATAAAAAAAATACTGCTTAGAACAGGGCCATGAAGAGCTACCAACTACATCATATTTCCAACATCTTCGATCTAGACACCTTCAATTGGACAAAGATTGAGATCGCCACAACTTGGGAAAACAAGTGAAAATTTTAAGAGAAAATGTTGTTATTTCGTGGCATATCGATTAAAATTCTCGTAAACCAATCATCATTTTGAAAATGCGAAAGATTATAATAAAAAAAAGAATATAACAAAAAGTAGGAATTAATTTTAATAGCAATTTAAAGTGTTTTACAGGTTTAGTATCATTTTAAGTTGCAATGATTTCTCATATTTTCATTTTTTTTCAAAACTAATATGTTTCAATTTTTTTAAATATCAAACTTAACCGTCTAAAATAGATATCTGGAAAAAAAATTATGCATAAGGAAAACCAACGGAGAGATGTTTAGAAATAAATTCAATTCAACGATATAAAATCATTCATTTTCAGGTGCTAACTGGTTGCATTCAAACCAGCATTCAGCAGCGATTAAAATCAAACAAAAATCTGTCTACTTAGTGTCTGTTCCAACACTGAGCATAAACATTTTCTGGAAATAAAAAAAATAACATCGAATGAATTAAGTAGCTACTGTTGCAAGACTTACAAAAGTTTATCAAAGTTTTAAAACGATCAACAAGCTAAGACAATTCGTTGGTCAGTTTAAGAACTTTATCTTCAAAGAATATGACGAACGACCAAAATGATGACTGCCTCGACATTGAGAATGACCTTGAGGACGACCTTGACAATCAGGAGGAGGACAAAGAATCAGAATCTTTGGAAAGTGAAGGACATGAAACAGTAGTCCATTGTTTCAATGATTAATGTGGGCTGTAAATGTTAAAAACGTGCGTTTTCTATTATTCATTATCTTGTTGGACCAGGAAAGTACAACAATTTTTATTAACATTGTGTATTGTATGAATTCATTTTTACCCCTCCTTGCACACAAGCGGGTGTATTTTAAAAAAGCTTTCACTAAAATTCAAATTGCAAAAAACAGATTAAAGACTCATTATCAGAATTTTATTAATTAACGTTGAAAGAGGCGTATTCTCTACCTTGACATCTATTCATTGTAGATCAAACATGGACCACGGAATAGAGATGACTTAACATGCTATCTTCTTACGTTTCTTTTTCTTTTTTCTAACTTTAAAAATTAAAAATTTTAAAAAAACTTTAAAAAACTTTAAAAATTTTTGATGTGGTTTATCATACATCCGTAGAGAATTTCACGATTAAGTTTGTTCTATGTAACAAATTGAAACTTTTTTAAAAAATAGTTTTTGAGCACAGAAAAAATTAAAAGAGACGAAATTGTGATGAGGTAGGGGCCACGAAATGCTTCATCTTCGCCTAACTCTAAACAAACAACCCCAGCTACTAGTGTGGTGTGGTGTGATGTGGTGTGGCGTGGTGTGTTGTGGTGTGGCGTGGTGTTGCGTGGTGTGGTGTAGTGGGAGCATCTTGTTCGTCGTCCTCGTTTTATAACATATAACAACCACTGCATATATGTATTTATATGTATAACAAATTAACATACATTCACCGATATATTATATATTATACAACAACCAATATATAACATACAACAAATATGTAACATACAGCATCAGTATATATTATACAACAACGAATGTATAATACACAGGCACCATTATAAAACATCCTAAACTGTAAATTAACGAAATGAATTTATGACGAGAAACAGTCGACCTGTGCTTAGAATTGAAAAAACTGATTCACATAACAATATATTAAGAGCAGATGCAGATTTTGACAAGCATGACGTGTGGCCGTGCGCACCGCGTATGACGAAATGACAGCCCCGCGATGGAAAAATATGTCGTACGTTTGAAGGAGGCTGAAGCATCAGCGCGTGTGGCTCTTTTCATGGCCACCTCGTTATAAGGTAGACCATCTTCAACATAGCAGTGCGCCACTTCACATTAATTATCAAATGAATAAAACATGTACGGGCGGGCAAGCACCGGATGCACTCACTTCATTTGCTGCGCGTCAATGTGACTACATCAACTGCGTATGCATCAAATACGATGACGTTTTTATGCAGCATTAAGTCCACTATAAATTGATAACATTCATAAAGTGCTATATAATTATTATCATAAAGGTGTTATATAATAATTTTTGACATAAAGCAAATGTGCCAGCAAATCTATAAAATGACTACAAACACTGCATTAACGAGCCGCACGGTTAATGTCTTTGGTACTGCATTAAAAGTTAATGTCTTTGTTCTGGTTTGACCAACATAAACAAAAGCTGCTTCTCACCGCCACCAACAACAACATCAACTATAACAACAACAATAACAACTTCTTGTTAGTGGTGGTGAGTAGCAGCTCTATTTTTTACACGAAAAAAATTATTTTTAAAATTTACAAAAAAAATTTATAACTTTTTTTTAGACAAATGACACATCAAAATGCTGTCCAAGTACATACATTAATATTTCTACCCAAACAAAATTTTGATATAATTTATTTTAAATGTAATTCAAAATTTTTAATTTATTAATTAAAAATTGATTTTATTTAGATATTTAATAATAAAAATTTTCAATTAGGTGAAATTGCATTTGGTTTTTATCGCATTTGCACTCTTCATGCTCATACTAAACCTTTTTACATTCGTACATTTGTGCCTTCTTCGTACATCCTGCCTCTGTTTGGAAAAGATATTGAGGGAGTTTGGTTTAGAAGTTGCAGTTTCCTCATTGCGCATCTCATTCCAATCATTCCACTCGTCAATTTTACCCAGCGTAGCAAGTCGCGATCTTCGCAAAAAGGTGAAGGTTGTTGTGTTTCGAAGTTGTAGTTCGTCATTTTGACCTAACATTGCAGGTCATTTTTTTCATAAAAAGATCAAGGGTGTAAAATTTTAATTAACCATAAAGTTAACTGAGCTTATTGCGGGTGTTGTTAAATTCAAAAAGTTTCAAGAAAATCGCAAGCGTCCTTTGAGACAATTCGAAAAAATTCAAAAAATAAGTTCAAGGTTTCTTCGATGCAAACTGACTATAGTTAAATAGTTATATCATTCTGATTTGTTAATTTTGTTGTGTTAACAAAATTATCGTACATTATAAAACGTGTTTGCGTTTGAGGGATTAAGTTCAGAGCCAAACAATCTGGCCACCCAGCGTAAATCTAAACTAATTTATCGTCCTGCATAACTTTAACGTGACATAACTTTACTAAGTACTACTACTAAAAAAAAATTGTTGACAAAATATTAGAATGCCAGGACCGCAATCTTGATGAAGATTCGTTATTTCACCGGCAATCAGTAAATGTTTATAAATTCACCAGTTACATGATCTTTTTTACGCAAATCACAAATCAGTCTAACCACAGCATTGTAGCTTTCAGAACCGCACCATAAGAACCGATCTTTAAATTTTCCCTTCGTTAATATCAAGACCAATTTTTTTCCATAAAACAGCTACCACAACCAGTCTCAAATTAACAGGAAAGACGCCAGAAACTTTCTTTGAAATAACATTCATTTTCTTGGCGAAATAGTCATGTTACGCAATAATTCAGCATATCAACTCAAATAAAATCCACAAATCTTACTACTCATGTCAGCAAAAATTAACAAAAAGATAATGTTTCAGTATGAATGAATAAATAATCAACAAACAACGATAGTAACACAAAGTTATAGTACACTAAATAAAAATAGATTGAATTGTAAATAAAATTTTAGGTGCAAATCGTTTTGTTGAGCAGGAGCTTCCCAAGGAAATGAGCCACTTTAATAATTAATCAGCACTAGCAATGCATCTTAAAACATGTCCCCCACATGAAAACACCTCCACAAAAAGCAAATGTTCAGATTTCTTTTTTCGATAATAGGTGTTATTTCATAAAATGTTTTTTTTTTTCAAATAACGCGAATCAAATATATAGTTGTTTCATTTTATATTTATACTCAGAACTTTTAACATGAACTGTCATCAGCTGTTACGACTCCTTTTAATTCGAAGAAAAGCAAATGACGGCAAACAGGCTCAAGCTAAACGCTAGCAAAATCAAAAATTAACTTAATAACACAGTTATAGCTTATAGCTTGTGGTGTTATACTTGAATCTGATCTTCTAATTAAAGAAGTAATCGCGTCATTTTTTATAGATTGTTTAGCAAAAGCTGCAAAAAAATAAAACTCGATTCTGCGGTGAATGGTCATTTGGTCAATTTTGACTATAATCATCCGATCGTATCTTAAAATGTTTTTTTGTTTAAATTAAAAAGTTTCAAAAACATTTGCAAAGTTGAATTTAAGGTGCATCTAAAATATTTTCTCTTCAACGATCAGGAACCAGTCTGCAGGCTGCCTAGATGATGAAGCATCAATAAAATAAATACAAAAGTTCGTTTTATAAAACAGATTTATTTGTTAATAAATTAATTATTTAGCATTTTGGCTTTATCAAATTAGTCATAAAATAAAAAACAGAAAAAAGGTTTTTTTTAGTGATAATAAGTTCATTAATTAACCAATTTTTGACCAAATACAGTTAGGACTGTAATTTTTGATGTTGTTTTTTCATTTATTTGTAATTGTAATACAATATTAGAGAATTTGTTGACCTAGTTGACATGAGCTGAAGATTGGATAGAAAAATACAAGATTCGTTTGAAATTATTCAACATTAGAATTTTTAAATTAAGACAGAAACATGTTGAAATTTGCGCACGTATGGATTTAAAAGCACTCGAATGTGTCGCGTTCGTTCTATCCAGGTAATGCTACTTTATTCTAATAATTTTTTTGGTTATTTTATTTTTTCGGCTGTTTAAAAATTGGTGGCCAAACTGATTAAAACGCTAGTAAATTCTTTACCTACCCTGTCTAAAATTTATTGTTTGCGGCACCGTGCTGATTCTTGTGTATCATTTAAAAGAGTTGTTACAAAATTTGCTAACAATAAAAAGTACGCACTCAAATTTATTTCCACTCAATTAAATTTGAGTCTTAATTTGAGTTTGAATAAAAATGTAAAATTTGTTTTGTTTCTTTGAAGACAGCAGCTATGAAAGTAATTTTGTGCCACGTGTAATTTCGAACGGTTTTTAATGAGTAGGGAAATAAGCATTCAATTTTTTATTTTCCAGCGACAAGACGCACATACCAACGTGGCGTTTTTATGTGTGTACGTACAATATAACATTCCATAAATATATACAATCACGTGAAAACATACCTACATACAATTACATTTTTCATATGTAATTCAATCACGTAAATACATTTATAAGATAGGGATTTTTTTAACTCGGGCATTTTTATATTTATTACACATGCACACACAAACCTACACACACAAATATACTAAAATATATATATATATACATATCAAAAATTTAACAATGCACATACAAGCAAACAAATACAGAGGCACCACATACACGCAGCACGGTAATGAACTTTGAGGCAGCAGCAGCGCAACACGGCTGGAGGACGCATTTGATACAGGTTGTAACTTGATGCCAAAAATGTGCAAACCTCTCAAAACGTTAAAAAACAATAAAAATGAAAACATGTAACTTATTATATATAATAACTAATTATATTTATATTCATTCCAGATAGTGAACTACACTATAATATTTGAGATTTCCATTTATTTCATTAATGTTAGTTAACCCATTAAGAATGTTTTATGGTAATAGATTTAAAAACTTATCAGTTAATGAACGTTTATAGCATTGCTTATTTTTTAGACATGTCCCTCTTTTCAGCTCGTTATTAGCTTTTCATCTCGTCACTCGAAAAATGGTTTTCGTTATTATTTTAAACATTTGCTTAACAATTTTTGACTGTTCATTAGGACAAATTTTTCATTTTTTTTTCTATTAACATTTTTTTCACATTGTCTTTTTTATAATTTTGCGCAAAATCAGCGAGAGAGAAAAAGAAGTAGCTGCTTGTTATGCATGGAGGTGCAAACTAAGCCATGAAAGTGCTTTCTGCTGAATATTATTTCAACATAAGGTTCTCTGCATACCAGTTCACTAATATTACTCTTATTAACATATTAATAACAGTAGTTTGGTTAATGAAAACTTTATAGAAATTATTTCAAGAGTTTAAATTGCATCGAAACAAAAAACATATTCCTTTGCCTTCATTAGTTACACCAAATTTTTAAACATTTTTCAAACATCTGACACAAATAGATAAACTAAACCCCCAAAAGCCATTAATTTTTTTGTGAGCCTGCCGAAGCACGTGAGAACTCCCTGAGGATCATTCCAGGCAGCAAGAATGAGTTGGCAAGCGTGGTTTGAATATTTTTAAAGTAGAACAAGGGGAGCTCATTTTTTATATAACATTTTTATAGACTAAAAAAATTGTCAATAAATTTCGTAATTTCTGACAGAACACTAAAAACATTATTGTTTTTTTTCATAAAAAATTTTTAATTACGTTAAAAACTTATTATTAAAAACAAAGGAGTGATTGTTTAAGTTTTGTTAATTGTGAACTGCAAAGTCTCAATAACTACGCATCTGTGCAGGAACGTGTAGTGAACAGTGACTGAGTATGCAGCATCTTCATTTCTTCGTCCCTTGCACTCTTCTTTATATTACTCTCCATTCTATACATCGTTGGAAATGCTACAAACAGCTTTGTTATTTTTGAAATATTTCTTTTAGTAATTATCATTCTGATAGAAACTCACATGTTTAATCATGATCCACATTTGAATTTCAGCTGCTGTCAAATAATTCTTGTCTGGACTGACAACAAATTTAGTTGGATCCATCATTATTAATAAACATTTCCATTATGTTGCATGAAATAACGTTATTGAGCCCATGTAATGATACTGAGGACAGATAATTTGCTTTCCAACAGCGAAGGCTTGCACGTCCTTGAATGAAATGTTTGATTGGTGGTGGAAATATGGTCTTGCTCCAATTGTTTTTGTTAAATTTTCATGCAATGACTTGAATTGGCCATTTTCATTTAATCGTATCTTCATTAATTTTGTTCGTTTTTTATAAAAAAAAATCTTTCTATTATTTTGTGTTTATTTTAGTTTTTCACATTTGGTTATTTTTTTTTTATTTTGCTTTCGTACAAAGGCTTTCGTTATTCATTCTTATTTTGTAGAGCTGTATCGATAGTTATAATTAGTTTTATGTCTATGCTAATGTTTACATCTATTTTTATGTCTATGTTAATGTTTACATCTATTTTTATGTCTTTGTTACACCAAACAGGCAGGTGCAGTTCATTACTTATTTGTCAGAGCAAATTATTCAGCGCCAAGAAGACAAGCGCACTGCAGACGTCCACATGTTGCCCGCTCTTCGAGACGCCGTGCAAGTTAATTTCATTCATCTGCTTATCTGCAGCGCGGAGATGTATTACACGTTTGCCTTTGTAAATTTTTATAAATAGAAACCTTACTTCATATACTACATAGATTCGTACACTTTATTTTCTCAAGTGACCTGTTGTGGCTGTTACAACATCGTGGATCGTAACTGTTTGCATTGGAACGTGTCGCATTCAGAATGTTACGTGTTCAAATAATTCAATAATTCAAATAGTAATAAATCTTGTTATTCAGTCTGCTACATTGTAACACATTACATTCAGCTTGTTACATTGTAACACATTACATTCAGCTTGTTACATTGTAACACATTACATTCAGCTCGTTACATTGTAATACATTACATTCCGCATGTTGTATTAGACATGCAACACATCCAGTCACGTGATCCAGCTTCCAATGAAATGTAACGAGCAACTGAAGGTAATAGACAGTCAATGAATGACCAATATATAAATCTTGCTTATGTTTCTAATTTGTTCATTGTTGTGCTGACTGGCTGCTAGTAGAAAGAAACGATATTCTTACACTCATTCATTTATATATTTTCTTCTAAACTTTTTCCTGCAACATGTTCTGTTTGTTAATGTGACAAAGAGAGGTTCTCCATCAAATGGAAACATTAATAACGCCGAGTTGTTGATGGTGGTCTAGTGATAAAACTTCAGACTGTTTTGTCGTTGTAATCACTTTGGTTTCGTTCATTCAAAGTTTCAGTGACAATGGGTTGACAGACATATGTAAAATTTGAAATGTTCAATCTATGAAGTTTTTTAATGTAACTTGTCGTTTAATGATTGAAATTTATGTTGTTATCTTTTATCTGGCATTGTTAACTTACAAGGTTTATAATGTTAATTACAAAACAATTACTTTCCATTTGTGGAAAGTGCAATAATGATATTCTTATTATGATGAAATTTTAATCATAATAGGGTTTTTAGAGTTTTGTTTGTATTTTTATTGCAATCAATCAATTAGCTTATAAAGCGCTATTTCCGCGATGTTCCTCAATGAATTTTGAAAACAGATGGGTCTTGAGATCCGCTCTGAACTTTGCAAGTGATTGAGAAGTAGTCAGATAAGTAGATAGAGAGTTCCAGAGAAAAGGACCAGAAAAAGCAAAAGCAGATTTGGCAAAAGAGTGTTTAACACGAGTTAAGAAAAAGTGAGAAGAAGAAGACGATCGTAGACCGGGGCGTTTAGGTTCAATTAATGTATTTGATAAATACTTAGGAAATAATTTAGATTGAGACTTATACATAAACGTGCAAATTTTAAAAATTATTCTATATTTTATAAGTAGCCAGTGCAAGAGAACAAGATATGGAAATATATGAGAAAAGAAAGAAAACAAACAAAACAAAGTTAAGGATGAGCATTTTAATGAATTGAAAAATTTCAAGTAAATTTTGTAACAACTTTTAAAATATATCAATAAATAAAGGACTCAACGTAAACATAAACGTAGCCGAAACTAAAGTTATGATGAGACGGAGAAGAGCTAAGTACATCTGATAAATGATTGTTTGCTGACTACTGCAGGCTGATGTAAGAATGTTGCGTGTGCGCATTTGCGTACGTGACTACGCATATGTGTATTGTATATGAGTGTATCTATGTGTATATGAGTGTATCTATGTGTATATTTGTGTATTTATGTGTATATGAGTGTATCTATGTGTATATGAGTGTATCTATGTGTATATGAGTGTATCTATGTGTATATGTGTGTATCTATGTGTATATGGGTGTATCTATGTACATATGAGTGTATTTATGTGTATATGAGAGTATCTATGTATATATGATACCCTGAAAAAAGTACTGATGAGAAAGAGGGACTGGAAGAAAAAAGTTGGAAGACCTGTGAGGAAGTGGATGGATGATATCACGGAATGGACGGGGGTTGGAACATTGGGCTCAACGAAGATGGCGAGGGAAAGAAAAGGATTTTGGAGAGATAGAAGAATACCATCGGCCTCAACGGTCC